AAACAGAATGATCCCTTAGAATAATGTTAAAAACAACTAAAATAAAATAGACACTTTTATTGTATCTGCAGACACAATAAATATGTAAAAAGAAAAACAAAAGAGTGATGAATAGAGGATTCAGAGAAAAATGGTTTTCCCAGACTGGAAGGAAGAAGACTTAAACTGGTGGTAAGAAAGAGATTATATATGAGCTCTTAGCTTTTGTTCTGGATGGTGCCTTTTTGGGTATTTAACGCATAGTTTAAAATAACTAAGTAAAGGGGCGCCTGGGTGGCTTAGTTGGTTAAGCGTCCGACTTTCGCTTAGGTCATGATCTCGCGGTTCGTGGGTTCGAGCCCCGCGTCGGGCTCTGTGCTGACTGCCAGCTCAGAGCCAGGAGCCTGTTTCAGTCTGTGGCTTCCTCTCTCTCTGACCCTCCCCTGTTCACGCTGTCTCTCTCTCTCCTAGAAATAAATAAAAAACATTAAAAAAAAAAATAACTAAGTAATGCAAGTTAGTAAATAAATTAATCAAAACAGGCCATGCATAGGCCAATAGACAATAGTCAGTCATCAACCCAGAATCATGAGGTCCTAAATAAATAAATGAATGACTAGTAAAAATAGAACACTGCAGCTGTCAAGAAAGTTGAAAGTTTCCTCCAGATGTGTTTGTTTACTTGTTTCAAGTTTATTTATTTTGAAAGAGAGCAGAGAGACAGAGAATGGGGGAGGGGCTTTGAGAACAAAAGAGAGAGAGAGAGAGAGAGAGAGAGAGAATCCTAAGGAGGCTCTGCACTGTCAGGATGGAGCCCAACATGGGGATCCCCACTGGGCTTGAACCCAGGAACAGTGAGATCATGACCTGAGGCAAAAACTCCCTCTTCCAGTTGTTTTTTAGTTGTTTGTTTGTTTATTTTTAACCACTAGTAGCAAAAACACTGAAGCCAGTGTTCTTTTTATCTCATTTGAAAGTGTCGTCTTGAATTTATAGTAGCTTTGCTTCATATTTGGGCTTTGAGCTCAAGGTATCCTCTCTCAAGGTATTTTTTTCCTTGATGATTCATTTTTATTATTATCTTTAATTGTGATAAAATATCCATAACATAAAATTTACCATCTTAGGGGTGTCTGGGTGGCTCCACCGGTTGAGCATTTGACTCCTGATTTCGGCTCAGGTCATGATCTCATGGTTCATGGGTTTGAGCCCCGTGTCAGGCTCTGCGCTGATAGTGCCGAGCTTGGAATTCTGTCTCCCCCTGTCTCTGACCTTCCCTCGCTTTCTATCTTTCTCTTAAAACAAATAAATAAACATTTAAAAAATTTACTATCTTAGCCATTTTTACAGTTTAGAATTGTAAGGTATATTCATTTGTGCAACCAATCTCTAGAATTCATTCCTCTTGCAAAACTGCAACTCTAAACTTGTTGATTCTAGAACATTATAGTAACTTTACAAAGTATCACTTTGTATCACTGGGGTGAAAATAGAAGGTACACAGAATGCATATCCATGATCTGTCAATTGGTTTAATCTTTAGCTCATTTTATTTGGTCTCTACTCTAGATTAATATTTCTATGAGTCCTTTCAATATGTCGAAACCTATTCTTTTTCCTGTTTTCTATGATGGTAAAATTCACTCATGTTTCAGAAATAAATTTAGAACAAACAGTTATGGATATTTGTTCTGATCTAAATATCTTATTGAGGGGGCGCCCGGGTGGCTCAGTCAGTTAAACTTCTGGTCCTTGATTTCAGCTCAGGTCATGATTTCATGGATGTCTGTGAGATCGCCCCCTGCATTAGGTTCTGCATTGACAGTGTGGAGCCTATTTGGGACTCTTTCTCCCTCTCTCTCTGCTCCCCCCCCCCCCCATCTCTCAAAACAAACTTTAAAAACTTATTGTTATAAACTCTATAAAAAAGGACAATATAGAGTTCTTCTAAATTAAGTATATAAGATATAAAGAAAAGAAAGATTAGCACAGGGTTTTTGCTTTGTTTTGCTTTGTTTTGTTTTTTACTTTGAACCAGTGCAGCAGGTGACTGAGTTAAAGTAAGTCATAACATAAATGTTTCTAAAATTAATTTTGAATGTATTTGTAGGGGCTTCAAAAAGGAGGGAGTTATTTAAAGAATGACAAAATGTGGAAACAATCGTTATAACTTCTTTGAAATCTAAATGAAAGCTCCAAAGTTAGAACAGAGCAAGTACTACTCATTAGTTATTCATTCATTACACACATAATTACAAAGGCCCTGTGTATTCCCTGCAAGGTGTGGCATTGAGTCGGGAAGATAGTTCTGTAAACAGATAAGGTAGTGCATTCTCTGGGAGATAAAAAGTGAGCAGAGAACTCCGAAGATGGAAACTGCTCCTGGAGCATTCAAGGGGCCCCAAGGCCACACCAAGATACAGGCCCCTACTTTTGAACCACTGTTTTCAATTACTTGTTCTTGATAATTTCCACTCTACTCTAGCAGTTTACTGTAGTTTAATAGTTTTGACCCGAATTTTTTTCTTAAGGACTTAACACTAGACTAACAATTGCAGATTCCTTCTTCCTCTTTGCAAAGGAATGCAAATCTCTAAAAGATGTTTCAATGGTTTTGTTGTCCATTTTCAGTTATTAATTGTAAGTCATATAATTGTAAATTGAATTGATTGTAAGTCACATAATTGTAAATTGAAATGTGTCATCCTAGTGAATGAAGCAATAAAACTAAAGTTACAAGCAACAGAGAATCAAGTTTTTGATTAGTAGGTAAATGTGACACAGAGATACTCCAGCACTGAGAATTTGTTGGGCTCCAGAAACCAATTGTAATAAATCTTTTAATCTCTGTTTAAAGAGGATATTTTTCCCCAAATGTTATCTCACATTTCATCATTCACCTTCAATCCCATAAAGGCTAGACCCTGTTAAAAATAGAAATTATCCTTTAATCATTATTATTGAAAAGTAATTCTAAGATAGTATCACAAAGATAATTTTACTTCTTAAGATAACATAAGCCTTAAAAATAAAGATTCATTAAGATTATACACTGCTTTATTTTGATATAAGCTGTCAAGAATTCAGGAATCACAAAAAGAGTTATCTTAATAACAACAACCTAGGAGATATCTGATTGTCTTCCAGACTGGAAACATTGACTTAAAAGGAGACGGAAAAGAATCATTGTAGTTGTGCCAATATTTAAAAGCTATCATTTTAATTATGATTTGTGGTGGGATTTTCTTTTACTTGCCACCTAGTCATTAGAATAAAGCATTTTTTAAAAATTCCTTTTAATTCTTTGTTTGTAAAGAATTTAAAGAAGCAAAATTTCACTTAATGCAATCTAAAAATATAATAAAACAAAACAAAAAATAAAAACTACCAACAAACCACATAGTTACATGGGGTTGGCAGAAGTAAGTTCAAGAAACATTTTTGTTTTTCAAAAATCTTTTGAAGTGGCATATATACTGTGACATATACATCTCTATCCCTGTCTACAGAAGAACCTTCCACCAATTCCATATTTTTAGAGTCAAATTGTGTATGCACGTGTGTATGTGTATATCTGGGCATGTGCATGGTGTGCGTGTGTGTGCATACATGTACATATGGTATACTGTGCATATGCTTGTAGGTGGACAAAGAGGGGTAAGATGAGAAGAGAGAGATTCACACAGACACATCTAGAGAGAGATATTAACTCTGATTGAATATAGAACAACATATTTCATAAATACTTCCAAGTTTCAGCATGGTTTTTAACAAGATTGTTTTAACATTTATTCATTTTTGAAAGACAGTGTGGGGAGAGAAAGAGAGAGGGAAAGAGGGAGGGCGGAAGGGTCAGAGAGAGAGAGAGAAAAAGACAGAATCTGGAGCAGGCTCTAGGCTCCGAGTTGTCAGCACAGAGCCCGACACAGGGCTCGAACCCACGGACCGTGAGATCATGATCTGAATCGAAGTTAGATGCTCAACCGACTGAGCCACCCAGATGCCCCTAACTTTCAGCATGGTTTACAGAAAGTCCAAGAAATACCTGAGATCTTGAAATTATTTCAGTAGTCCAGTCAGTACACCTAAAATACAATGTCCACAAAATCTATAAAAAGCCCTCTTGATCATTAGATAATGTGAACAGCTTTGAAACAGTGGTTATTAATATTTTCACTATTTCTGAAGTTATCAGCAATAAAATGACATGTACATTTCCTTGAACTTTAGAACACGGTCCATGCAGTGTCCTGCTGTATTAAAAGCTGCCTCAGCAGGACAAACAAAACACATATCCCTATCCCTTAAAGTTGATGCAGCTCTACTAATCCCTTAGAAAGCTACCCAAGGATATTTTTCTTTCACTTGTCAGCCACAGACATACCAGAAGGAGAGAGGCTACTTGCATAACTGCCATAGTAATTGTCCTGAAATACTCCCACAGAGCACTTGTTCTTAACTAATGGTGTCTGATGTACCACAGTTAGGTTATAAGGCTATCATTTTGGTGGGAGTAGTTTTGGAAGCCTGGTGCTTCGCTACCAAGGATCTCAGATATGTAGAAAGCTTACCACTGCTTTCTCTACCCACATGGAGGACAGACATCAGAAAGCAAACATCTTTTCTGCGGATCCGGATGAGTCCAAGAATTTCTCTCAACATAAATATCCAGGGTGTAACTACTATCTGAACTACTACTAAATAATTGGGGATTGTGAATCGATTTTTAATTGGAGTGCTAATCTTATAGATCACCTTAATAACAGAAAACTTTGGGAAACAGATGTAAATAAATTTATAAAATTTACAAAATTTCTCCACAATTTATTGGTTAACATTTCAAAACAACTATGTCTGGTAAGTCAGTCTCCATATTCTATAATTTACTAATTAAACCGTACTAGTATATTTATCTTGTTTTCATAGCATTTCACAATTGAAATCAAATATTTCCAAAGGATTCATTTTTGTAGGTTATACTTGGAAGGATCAAATATTAATGTCTAAAATATATATATATAGTGCCCACTTTGGCAACACATTTACCTAATGGAACGATACAGAAAAGATTAGCATGGTACCTTTGCAAAGAAGACACATAAACTCATGAAGTGTTCTGTATTGTTTTTTTAAAAAGAATGAGTAATATATACATGTATATATATTTTTTCCTTTGAGAGTTAGAGAATGTAGATTACCAGTATAAGAGAACATTCTAATGAAATTAGAATTATTTTCAGTGTCACTTTACATATTCTCATCTGCTATAAAGTTATATTTTAAACATATTTTTAAAAAAGATTCAATATTAATTTTCTTAGGAAAATATAATGGGAGCTGCATGCATTTAATCTAATTGTCTTATATTAATTGTATTTGCTAATCTCTATCCAAATTCCAAACTGTTTTTTGTTTGTTCATTTTTTAAGGATTTTTACTTCACTTTGAATACAAACAGGTTGGAGAAGTAAATTGAAGTAAATACTGTAATGTCTCCAACCCATAATGGTTTTATTCATAATTTATATCATTCATTAACAGTTATCACTTAGTAAGGTGAAATGTCAGGCAATTTATTTTTAATTATTTTAATCTCAGGCAAGTAACAGAAACATTCGAATAATGATAAGGCTTAGAACATCCTAAGGAAATTCTAATTATATCTGTTCTTTGTTACATCTTTGGAGAAGCAATTTAACTAACTCTAGTTAGCAAGTGCAGGGTCAGTCAAATGGCCCTTGGCCTAATTCAGAGATGTCAAAACTGAAAGGAATACACAGAAAGGGAAGTTACAACTTGTTCAAAAAACCTAATTAAGGACAAAAATTCAGAGCCCTAAAAATGCAGACGTGCATCTCTATCAAAGAACAGGACTTAAGTTTTTGAATGGTTGTAAAAAAGTTGGAAAAATATTTTTCTAAATGCCATCTGGTAAAGGATTTGAACAACCACGTGAGCAAAGAGAGTGCTGGGTTCCGGGAACAGAAAGAGGTAGGAGGTCTGAGTTCATAGAGCGAAATACTCAAAAATAAGGACAATGGCCCCAAAAGTAGAGCTTGCGTGTTTGAAACTGGCTGGGGAAGAAACTTTCACAGAAGGGAGGTTTTAACTCTCAAGTTTGGGCACGATCTGCCCAATGTAGTTTCCTCCCTGAAGAGTTGGGTAAGACTTGCCTCTCCCTTTCCATTTTCAGGACTCAGAGGAAAGCCTCTTTATGTTTAGCCTTCTTCCACCCAATGTCTCTGAATTCTAATACATTGGTGTTTATCATATCCATCTGTCACTTTCTTTTGGTGAGCAAATCTAGTTTGGGACCCTTTCCTGGGCATAAAGATCAATGAAATGCAATGGAAAATAGAAAATGTAAATTTGAGGCCCCACTTCATGCCATGAGCAGCTAACATTGCACTTTCGAATACTGTATCTCAGTACTAACCACAGAATGAATTTGCTCTACTTGGAATACATTTGACCTCCTCTGGATGGTTCTTTCTTATAATGTCCGTTTTAATATCACCTTCCCATTTCACCTTTCCTGACCCACTAAAGTAGTTTTTTCCTCCATTTGCAGTGGCATGGATGGAACTAGAGAGTATTATTCTAAGCACATTGAGTCAGTCAGAGAAAGACGAATAACATGATTCCACTTACATGTGGAATTTACAAAGCAAAACAAACAAGCATAAGGGAAAAGGAGAGAGAGAGAGAGAGAGAGAGAGAGAGCACTGATGGTTAACAAGAGGTGGGTGGGGATTGAGTTACATAGGTGATGGGGTTAAGGAGTGCACTTGCCCCTGATGAGCACCGGGTGCTGTATGGAATTGTGGAATCAGCATATTGTACACCTGAAACTACACTGTGTGTTAACTAACTGGAATTTAAATAAAAACATGAAAGAGAGAAGAAAGAGAGACAGAGAGAGAGAGAGAGAGTGAGAGAGTGAGTGAGACAGAGAGAGAGAGGAAGGGAGGGAGGAAGAAAGTTCTTCAGGGTTTTTTTCCAGAATTATCACCACAGCTTTTAAACAACACTTAACATTAATTTTCTAATTTGTTTCCTTTTTTTTTCTCCATCAAACTCTCCCTTTAGAAACTAGAGGCACCATGAGAACAGACACCTAAGTAGTTTGATTCGCTACTGGATTCCCAGCATCTAAAAGAGTGCTAGTGACATAGTAGGACCTGAGTAATCATGTATTGCATGAAAGAGAGAGGCGTGTTATTGTATCAAACTACCTAAAAGAAATTTTAAGAAATCCACAAATGGATTGGTAATTTTGAATCCGTGGTGCATTTGCATGTGAACTCGAGTGCAATTATGCTTGTGGTTAGATTTTCTAATTCTGTGAGGAAAACAGGTCACAGTGCTCATTATCTTCCTAAGTATATGACTTAAATATATAACTCAGGAAAGTTTAGGGACTACTGATCTTGACTGACAAGAAACATTGCTTCTACTTCTTACCCTCTTTAGTGTCTGGCACCGTATCACATACATAGTAAGCTTGATACTTATTGAAAAGTGATCTGCAGAGTTTCCTTTAAAATTAGAGACAGAAAGAGTTCTTGTCAGAGTTCTGGCAGAAGTCTGAGCAGTCTGACAACATCCTGACAGTGCATTACAGTGACCAGATGGGACCTGCCCGTCAGCACCCAGGCTGGGGAGCCCGCTCATCCATGAAGGGGGCGATTGTTCTACCTCTGTGGTTACTAGACAGCATGTGCTCCGCAAGCACTAGGAACAGATTAATCATCATGAAACTAAGCAGGGAGCCGTATCCCAAAAGTTAATTTATTGGGATGTCCACGTGGTTTCCAAGTGATTGTATTTTCTTAATTTCAAGTATTAACTAAGAATAAAAAAAAGTGGCACTTTCCTTTTATCCATAACTTGATTTTAAGTGAGAAGTTATTTATTCTGAGATTTTCTCCATAAGTAATCAATATGCAAGGTAAAGCATAAGATGGGAATGTCTTATTCAGCCATGATGTGAGCTAATAGAATTGGAGTCAGAAGGTCAATGTGACTTATAAAAGCCTTTCTGCTTATACTCAACATAAAGCAAGAAAGTACAGGATCCTCATGTATGAAAACCCTCTTGTTTTATACTTCCTTGAGGAAAGGGAACTAACAAAGCGCTTTTCATGCCACACAGAGAAGGGTGTTTAAATGACCCACTAAAACTTATTATATTTAAAATTACAAACTCATTTAGCTTGGTTATTTTCCTAACATAAGTGCTTAAAAATAGAGACACAGTTTCATGAATTTCAAGTAACCTAATATTCATAATCACATACTGAGTTTTCATGTTAAATAAGAAGAAAAATAATATAAAAATTGCATTATGATTGTTAAGTGGAAGAAAAATAATGGTCACATTGGTAAATGTGAAATTACTTTATTAACATTCTGCTAAAAAGAAAAAAAAAATGATCCTCTTAAAGTGTTCAGCTTCTAGCTTAAATGTTGTACCTTCACATTTATCCAAAGTTTCCTTTTAAATAATTCTGATTATTTTGTGGTTAAATGACCAACAGAGTATAGTTCTGAAGCAAACATGCAGACCTAAAATTTAGCAAGGCAAGATTAAGTTGTGTCCAGTTATTCCACAAAAGTATGGAGCTATCTTAAGTGGCTATGTAATGTACATATTGCTTTTGCACACGGCTTTTTCAGGTGTTTTTGGTTAAGTTTTCATTTCTTTCTTTCTTTCTTTCTTTCTTTCTTTCTTTCTTTCTTTCTTTCTTTCCTTCTTTCCTTCCTTCTTTCTTTCTTTCTTTCTTTCTTTGAGAGAGAGAGAAAGGGCAAGAAGGGGGAGGGGCAGAGAGAAAGGGAGACAGAATGCCAAGCAGGCTCCTTGCTGTCAACCCAGAGCCCAATGTGGAGCTTGAACTCATGAACCATGAGATAATGACCTGAGCCGAAACCAAGAGTTTTGACTGAGCCTTTCACTTTAAAATCCATAGGAAAACATCCTTTACCCCCACCCCAGAAACATAGTATTTTTTTTGCATTAAAACAAACATAAATTACTTTAAACAGAAAAATTTTAGGTATTATACTGCTTCTTCTTTGAACACTGGTTAGCTAATAGGTTTTTGTTCGGGCTCATTAAAAGATCTCAGCTAACATAGCATTGAATACAGCATTTGAACATTTTATATACAATATTTAATTTTGACACATATGAGTTTCCAGAGAAATGATTTTTTAATTAATTTAAAAGGATGGTTATTATCTCAAAATGAAAGTAAACTTTTTGAAGATTAATTTCAAAGATCATTGAAAAATGAATCAATTCATATCTTATACTCTCTTTTATAGCTAGGTTCTCAGATATAGCTTAGCTTTTTTGGAATCAGATTCCAACAGAAATCTATGGAAAAGCATGGAAAATGAGATATAAAACAGAAAATGTTTTGTTTGAGGCTATCAATTGTCAAAAGGTAAATAATATTAATAGGAACATTAACATTCTCCATTTGGTTGCCTCTATGGTTCTAGTTTGTGTACTTCAGGAATGAAATATAATGAAGGTATATAATGAGGTTGTAGGTAAAGCAACATCCTTTTGAGGGCCATTTTATGGCTTTGGTAGTAAAAACATGTTAAAAGAGAAGTTTTAGTTGCATAAAAATTCAAAAATGAGATGCTAGGTCAAGAAGCAAAAAGTTTCAAAGTAGATGGCCAATGATCCTACAGATAATTTCACCCATGTTCAGCTATAACTGCTTGGAAACTAGATATTAGAAAGTGTTTTCCTTTCTCTAGAAAAGGATGTTTCATCTGAGACAATTCTATCGCATGTCCTATAACCCCTAAGGTGATGGGTTGGTGCCAGGAAAAGAGCTTTCCTGGGACCTCAAAAAGCACTTGCTTTGAACATGCAGTTGGTGGAACGTTCTAGATTAATGCCTAAAGGAGAAAAAGAGAACGACAAGCTGCAGTGGAAAAAGAGGCCAGACTCAGCAGCTGTACTGCCATCAGCCTGAACTTCCAGAGCATGTCCAGGAAAGGACACACATGATGGTTTTCCATAGAAAAGATGGGGGCTGTACTTGTTCAAAACTGGGATGGCATGAGGTCACCTTATGTCCTGCTCAAGAGCGGTAAGTGAAAAGAC